AAGAAGCACAAAAAAGGAGGAGCACAGGGAGAAAAGGAGGAAGAGAAAGGACGCCGAGCCGCCACATGCCACCAAAGAGGCCAAGGTAGCGGGGCGACTCTTCGCGGCCATAAACCGATGCGGCAGCGGGCAAAAAGCCAGCACCACATCTGCAGCAGCCCTGCATGACGTCCGCTACTACACCGCCCGTCTTCTCCGCTTGGGCACAGGTGCGCCCCTGAAGATTTGTCGCGCATGCTTTTGGTCTTTATTTGTTTTGCATTTATTTATTTGTTTATTTTATTTATTTGTACAGACCCTACGCTGGTGGTGGATGAGACGGGACGCACGCTGCTGCACAGGGCGGTGCTGCAAAACAATGCCACGCTGTGCCGCTACCTCATCGACACCCTCGGTCGGGACATGGTCAACCTGGTCTCTGGCTCGGAGGTGATGACTCCTTTCCTTCTCTCTCTGTGCCCCCACGCCTGTGTCGTGTCGTGTCGTGTCGTGTCGTGTCGTGTCGTGTCGTGTCGTGCGCGCATACTTACTCTCGGCACAGGATGCGAGTACGGCGCTCCACTACGCGTGCCTGAACGAGAGCGCAGAGATCTGTCACATGCTGCACAGGAGCGGCGCCGAGACCGGCATCAAGAACGCACTGGGCATCGTGGCGACCGAGATCGGATTCGAAGCCCTCCGCAGGAAGGGAGAGCAGCTTGAGGCCGAGCGACAGCAACGCGAGGCCGAGTGGCGCGCCATGGACGAGCGAATGAAGGCGGGCGGCTTCGACGCGAGGGACACTCCTCGCCGACACGAAGACGCCACGTCATCGAAGCGCCGACAACCGAAGGCGGAGGAGGAGCCGAGCGACGATGACGACGATGAGCAAGACGGTGAGGAAGACTTTCACGTCTTCGATTACACTGAATTGGGGAAGAAGACGCCGAAGAAGAAGCGAAAGCGACCAGGCACTGCGGATGACGGCGATGCCTTCGAGCGCTGGAAGGAGATGGAGCGGAACAAGTGGCGGCGACAGCAAGAGGAACAGGACTGGAACGAGCGGCTGGCCGAGGAGTTCGCCAGCGAGGGCGGGCACATGTGGCACGACCAGTGGGCCGATATGGACGCCGGCGGCGGCGGCGGCAACCACCTGAGCGAGGAGGAGTGGAAGGACTGGGTGCGGAAGGAGATGGGGCGGAAGGCCAGCCGGCGGTGGGGCCAGGACCACGGCGACTTCTACGACGCCAAGGCCCGCAAGCGACGCGAGGAGGAGCGGAAGGAGCGGGAGCGGCGCGAGCGGGAGAAGGAGCGCGAGACCAAGGAGAGGATCGAACGCGAGGAGAAGGAGCGGGAGGCGCAGAGGCAGAAGGTCGAGGCCAAGCGACAGGCGGACGATTGGAAGCGACTCGAGCGCGAGTGGGTCGCGTTCGAAGAGGCCCTCAACGCGCGACGTAAGGAGGGCAACGAGGCCAGCGATCTCGGTACCTTTCCTCCCACCCGATGCGCACCTGACACACCGATAAGTGCACTCACGATGCAATGGCGCACTTTGATCGCCACTTTCATTCGATTTCAGGCCTCGCCGACATTCCCTTCCCTGACATCGAACGCGACGAAGAGACGGGCCACACTCTCGGCGGTACCTTCCCCTTTCCCGCACCGCCCACGTCCCTCAAGGGAAGGCGGACATTGGATTGCACTGGATTGCCCCCCCCCCGTGTTGGTGCTGACCAGTGCGGCTGCTTTGGCCAGGCTTCAACTTCATGACCGAGGAGACCACGGCGGACGACAAGACGAAATTCCTGCGTACGCTCTTCCTTCGCTGGCACCCTGACAAGGTACTCCCGCTACGGGCCGTTGTGAAAGAACTACACACGTGCCCCGTGCGTGAGCTGACGCGAGACCGTACGGTCACATCGCCGCACACGTGCAGTTCGAGCAGCGCGTGGGTCATCGGCTCAAACAGGAGGAGAAGGTGCAGGTGTTGGCTCACGCGACCCGAATTACGCAACACATCACGCGTCTCAAGGACCTGCTGGCCAAGCAGACATCTGCTCCGCCAGAGTAAGAATAAGAGTAGTTATGGTGGTGGTGGCTGAATGTAATTCCGGTTCGAGGTCTAGTAGAGTAGGTCGTGGATACTCGACCGCCGTGGAGGTCGTTCGTGGCTCTCGGCGGTGGTGCGTAACTCACCACTGCCGCTTTCCGGCGGTGGCGCTGCTTGGGTGGCCCGGGCGTGCATGGCGGTCATCTCCACTCACAGGCGAGCCTGTTCTCGTCCGTTGGCTTTTGTCGGTTACCTGATGCCACACACATTGCAGAGGCTGTGCGCCATGCAGGTGTGTTTGCATGGACGACTCGACAACCAAGAGAGAAGAAGAAGGGCGAAACGTACGTTGAGGGTCCAGAGTGACCTGTGCTCCACTCGTGTGTTGCGAGTGGCAGTGAAGACAGGCCTTGTTGGCAAATGTGCGCGACACGCGCCTATTTCGGATCGCAGGGCTTCGCATGGGCGTGTTGGCTTGATGATCATTATTTGATTTGAGGTGGTGGAGGGGCTGAAGAAGATGCTGTCCTGGAGGAGGCCGATCGACGTCGAGGAGGCCATCATCACGCGCGTGTATTCAGCGTCCGCCCAGATGTCTGCGCTTGAGCTGGAGCCGTGCAGTGAGGTTGGCAACAACTGCAACCTGCCCCACCTTTAGGTTACCTTCAAGCCTCGTACTGGAGAAAGAGGAAAGAGTCCCCACCTCGATGAGCAGCCTGGCTTGCTGTGCAGGCGTGAGTGATATTTGCGTTGGACGGGTGGTCATCACGCGTCTCAAGGACCTGCTGAAGAATAAGAGTAGTTGTTTTGCCCAGCCACCACCAAAACCCGAGTTGAGGTGCGGATTACTAGGGCCAATTCGGGAATGTCAAGTGCAGCCAATGGCGCACCGCATTCCCGCAAACCAAACTACGCTTATCGAGCGAGGAAGAAGGTATGTGGAGTGTATTTACAGGGCTCCAAAAGGTTCATTCCTTTCTTTCAGTTGAGGAGGTCGTACACCGTCGACCGCTGCGGTGACCGCGGTGTGTCGGGGGCTCTGCTGCTGCTGCCAGGGGCGCAGTGAGGCTGCACGGTGGCCGAGGACGCTGCGGGCTCCTCATCGCCCAGGTGAGTTGGCGAACCACCGTCACCGTCCTCTCCACGGCTGCGCCTGCGATTTCTCGCGTACCGAATCCCGCACGCGTTGCACAGCCTGCACGTTTCACGCACGCCACGTCAGCTGTGCCACAGTCCAGCTGCCCTGCTTTCTGGCACCTAGAAGCTACACTTGTCTTGTTTTGGCCAACAATTGCCTTTCCTCCTCCTCCCTCGCAAATTTCTGAGTTCAATTTGTCATTTTTTCCGATCCATCAACACCGACGCTTTAGATATCTATCGAGTAAGATGGAAGGAGAGGGGCGGCTCACGTACGTGGAGGGGCCAGAGGGGCCGGTGCGCCACTGGCTTGTGTGCTGCGACTTGCAGTGCTGGCACGCCTTGTCGGCGAAGGTGCGCGATACGCGCTTCTTCCTGCCTGGACGCGAGACGGGGACGGGCTGATGATGTGTGGTAGAGGAGGAGAGGTCGTGCTGGAGGCGGAGGAGGTCAATTTCGAGGAGGTGTGCAGAGGTGGTCATGAGTCGCATCTCCTCCGCGCCCAAGCGGCCTCGCAGCTGCTGCTTCAGATGGAGCCTCGTGAGGGTGTTGGCAACGGTAGCCACCTTTTAGGGCATTCCATCGTCAGTTCAGGTTCACATACAAAGATTGATGTCCGACCTTCAGAAAAGAAGAGCCAGCAAGTGGTGGTTTGAGAAGTGGTAGATGCAGGCGCTTGTACCTCGGACAAGAGCTTGGCTTGGCGAGTGGCCTCGTCCCCTTGAGCAAGTGGTGAGTTAGTGCGGGTGACGGAGAAGCGAGACAAGTAGCGGTGCATGTCCGAAGGCTTTTGCATCTCTTGGGCGGTCTTGTTGGTGTGTTGTGGTGCAGTCGGTCTGGCTTTATGTACTTTCGTGTTTTCTTGTTCGGCAAACTTTTTGATTGCTGATTGGCACGCTCGCAGCAGTGAGTGTTTCTCAGTCCCAGACCATCAACAGCTCCGGAAGAGGCGAACCTCCGCACCCAAAATGGCTCCTTGCCAACAGACCAATTTACCAGTTACCGGTTGGTGTTGCAACCTGTCGCGTCAGATGGTGCGACCTGACCACTTACATGTTAAAAACCGATAACCTTTGACCGCTGCCCTGGTGCGCATTTAAGATGGCTCCTTGGCTTACGCGTTCGCCAAAGACCTCCAACAGCCTTACGGTCCACGTGGCAAGACGTCACGTCGAAATGCTCATGGGACCACCACCATTTTGCCCACGATGCGACGCGTTTCGAGGTCTCTCAGGGCCTGCGGGACGTCGGCGAGGCCGACCTGCTTGCAGACCGTGGGAGCGATCCGCCCGGCCGCCAGCAGAGACATCATCTCGTCGGCCATCGTCTTCAGGTCTTGCTGGTCCTTGAACCTGCATTTCGTGCACACGTGAACATCGGACATGTTGTACGTCATGTGCGAGGGCGAAGGGCGAGGGGCCAGGTGGCGGCAGGGGCGCACCTCTTTGGACTGCCGTAGGCTCCACCGAGGGCCAGACCGTGCACCGAGATCGCGCGGCCCTGTTCGGGCACTGCACCCTGCACCTCGCCCACGATGGTCACTATGCCGCCGTTGAAGGCGATCGCAGGCAGCAGCGACGTAGCGCTCTCGCCGCTTACACAGTCCACCGCGCAATCCACGCCGACTCCTGAAATTCGAACGAGAAACGGGTGGTAAGGACCGACAGGGTGGAACACGAAGGCTGCGGGCGGGCTACCATCGGTGATGGCTAGGACACGCTCGACGACGTTCTCGCTGGTGTAGTCGATGACCTCGTTAGCACCAAGCGCGCGCACATAGTCGACATTGCTGGCTGAGCAGGTGGCGATGATCGGCTTGAGTCCTGCGATCGTGGCCAGCTGAATCGCGAATCCGCCCACGCCGCCCGAACCGGCAGTGATGAGGATAGACTGGCCTTTCTGCACGTGCAGCTTGCGGTGGAGGGCCTGGTAGGCGGTGAAGCCCGCACACGGCACAGCCGCGGCGGCGGCAAAGCTAACGCTCTCGGGCACGCGGGCAACCGTGTGGGCACTAACCACAGCGTAATCGGCGAGACCGCCTGGTGCGGGTGGTTAGATGGCAACGTAACGATGTAGCCATGTCCCCTGTCAAGGCAGTGGTACCGTGTGGATTGCGGAGGTTGCCGTGATAGTACACTCGATCACCCGGCTGGGAGGTCGTCACGCCCTCACCGACTGCGTCACGATGCCAGCTACGTCCAGTCCCGGCACGCTGGGCAGGGTCAACAGGCCCACGAGCGGCTGGTGCATAACTAACACATT